TTGGCCAAATTTGTCCCCGGGCCAATATTGTCCACCGGACAAAAATGTTCACTGGCCAAAAAGACTTCGTGGCCAATTATGCTACCTGGCAAATATTGTTCTCTGGCCAATTTAGTGTTCTGGACAGTAATATCCTTTATTTTTTAAAGCGGGATTTTTCTTCTTCAGAAATGTATCATTCAATCGTCCGATATTCCTAACAATAAAAACATCGCTTTATTCCCTTTCCCTTTACATTTATTTGTAATAACTCCGACATATGTAATTAATAAATACCTGATTGTATAGAGCGCAATAAGATTTTATTTATGTTGTATTAGATTAGAATTCCGATTATTATTAAATAAACATCAAACACGAATCACACGAATCCTTCTGCTTATCTTTAATATCGTTTATAAATAACTTTGCTACGTACTAAACAGACTACAAATAAGGACCATTTACTACTAATGAAGTTAAACTACACTGGGATAATAAAATGGAAGGACCAATGTCAATGCTACGAATGGCGCAGCAACTACGGTGACATATCAAATATGTCTGCTATGTCAGGCATATAAATTTACTTATATATTTGTTTTTAGTTACCAGTAGAGAAAAATAGAGAATTGATAAGAGTTTCTCTCAAAGTCTTACTAGTTGTGATAATAAGTCTTAAGAAAAGGATTGTAAAATTACATAAGAAAAAAAGTGGTTATTTTACCCTTAATAAAGGTTTTGATGCGATACTAGTGGATCTTAGTAATTGAATGCATTATAAAAATATTATTTGGGACGATCTAAGTTAGAATTAAATAGACTTGAGAAAGAAAGGAAATCCCAGGTCAACGGGCAACCACTGTTTGCAGAAATGCGTACGAAACGTTTATTGTCTTAAAGACTTCATCCGAAGTTAAGCTGGATTATCTAATGGAACAACCCGAGTTTTAGTAATATTTATTTCATGGGGAGTTAGGAATAATATGGTTTTTTTCTGTGTAATCGTGTGACCTATAATTAATAATGTTCGCATATGATTTTGATCACGGGAATCCAAGTTTCCCGGTCACATTATTTTCAATAATATATGCAAAAGATTAAATCATGACAGAGGATTAAGACATTTAACCTCTATGGGTTTATGTATCGATGGAAGATCATTTTCATCAAAAGCACTTTGGTAAATAGTTCACTACGCAAAGCGTTTATTTTTCGAGTAGTTAATGTCCAGAGGTAATGTTAATAGCTTTTCTCAGTTTAATTATTTATAATTAAAGTTACGTAACATAAAGAAGTTTGCGTAATTTAAATTTCCTTTGTGATACAAAATAAAATCACACGATCACTCGGGTCGTGTGAAAGTATGACGACAGCAAGAAAGCGATTAATATATCATCAACAACGATAACACAATAATTTTAGCAATTTGTTCAAAAAATTTTATTTCCGGAACCAAATTAGACTTATTCACTATATTATTTGTATAAACTATTTTGAGGAAACAATACACATTAAAAATAATACGCGTGTATATTACATTAGATATTTATTGATAAACCATGTCATCTATATTTATATACTTGACAAAATTATATAGAAAAGAAATATAAATTATAAGTATGTATAATTAAAACTTATTTACAAATATATATATTATAATATTAACCATGTTGAACAAAATTACCAAAAAGCAATCTATTAATTCTAGATTATAATCAAGAGGATAGTCTAATTTAAAGTTGATATGTTAATAATATAATTTAAAAAATCAATATCATTTATCCTTTCATCGTGTTTGTCGATAGAATCACCATAAAAATTATCGATTTGAATAGAAACGGGATCTTGTCTCAAATGATAAACAATTATTTGTTCGATTAAAGTTTCTAATTCATAATAAGAAATGTTACGCGGCACATTTATCTTAATAGAAGTCCTTTTTGTATCTTCATAAGGAATACAAAGAATTGGTTCTATTTCTATTGGATTACATTTCGAAGAATCACTTTCGATGTAATCTTTGATATAATTTTCGGTTAAAGTAAATGTAGGTGAGAAGGAAGTTACATCGATATTAGTCGAGATAGTTTCATCTTTATCCGGAAGCGATCTTGGAAATGAGGAATAAATATCAATAATATCATCAATTTCATCAATTTCAATTATATCTTCATCAGTTGAGAATGATGTAATTTCAGAAACCATGGTTTCTTTGATCACAGCGATTTCTTTTGGCTTGCGGAATACTTTGCGCTTAAGAGATTTAAATGTCTTTGAGATAATTGTTTTCAGCTTATTGAGAGATTTATGTTGTTTAGGCCAGTATTGATCACCTTCTAATGGTTTCATATCAAAAGAGCGGGAATATTCATTTGGGATAACGAATTTTTTATCAAATATCGAAAAGTTTGGATCGAAAGTAGTTGTTTGCATTTTAGGTTGTGAAGTTGTGTTTGATAGAGAGATATTTTTTTTAGTATATTTGAAAGCAAGGTGTCTTTGAGCGGGCGGCCCTCTGCTTTTATAAATTTTGAGTTTAATACGTGTAAAAGTTTTTAATAATAGGTTATTCTTATTGTCAAAAACGTGTATTAATTTAAAGAAATCATTTCTTTGGGGGTATTATTACAAACAAAAGTACATTACGGTTGATTGTTGGTTTTTTCTTAAATATTTGTATTCGTATTATTTAAGTTAGTGTATATTATTTGGTATCTTGAATTATCAAACAAAAAGTATGATTCTGCGAGATTAGGACATTTCTACTTTGTGGGTTATTAATATGAAATTAATGAACAAGTATAAGTTCAATAAAAGTAAATTGAATTTAAAGAAAAGTATTGTGTAATGTCAATAATTTTTTATTGGCTGGGGAATATTCATATAGAGCAATAATACAAAACAATATAATGTCACTATAGAAAATTAAATGACGTTTTATATAATATACAATACAACAAACGACGCAATCATTTAAATGTATTGTCACATTTGATATATAAATCACTAATCATGTGACATAACCAATCAAAATACGTCTTGATAAATTTATTTTAAAGAAACTACTGCATCAAAATTTTTTCAATTAAAGTTTACAAGTACTGATGATGAATATAATGATCGTTAATTTCCAATACTTTGTGATCCTTCGTATTATAGAGCAATGCGCTGTTAGTAATTTAATTATGCTACAAAATTTACTGCGCCAATTATTATTTGTGATCTACAAATTACTAGCGGACTACAAGTTAGTGATAGTCCATTTAGGATACATATATAGTTAGTAAATTGTGAATCCGATGATCACTAATCTTAAGTTTCTATAATTTCTCTAATTTCTCTAATTTCTTTAATTTCTATAATTTCCATAATTTCTTGTATTTATTAAATATCTATCTTCTATTAATAATGTATTTTAAATCTTTGCCTTAATAAAGGATAGAGTTAACTAATTATCTTCAAATTATAAATATCAATAAGGACGATCTGACCCTTTAATTAATTAAACTCGTGTATCTTTCTTTCATAGTTTAAACTCTCTGTTAGCAATATAAATTGTTATCTTAATGACGTATAGATTAAGCTTAACAGCGCAAAGAACGAAAAAGTGTCATCATAGCATATGATATTAATATCAAAGAGATTAAATCTGCTCTACAATGCCTCATTTGGAATGAAACATTTCATTTCTATCAATTTTAATCATAATCGTGGAAAGGGAACAATGCAAAAACTATGCGCAGTAAACAATACATGACCCAGTCATTCAAGATCCAATTCTTGATTTATTTTTCATGAATAATATCACCGTTTATTGTAATTATTGTTGGGTATACAATTAGTAAATCTCCAGTAATATAATATCAATTTTTACAAGTAAATTAATTGTTCTTAAAAAATATTTAGAGCTCCTTCTTTTGCCTAAAAAAGGAGCAACGCAAATAAATTAATTATTATTAATAAAAAAGCAATTTTTAGAACTTCTGATATATATAGTACGTTACGGTATAATAAATTGTTATTGAACGTGGCTTTAAAAGACCGATATGGTTACTCTAACCTAAATCTACGTAAATAAGATATTGCTCAATTGTTGGTGCTCTATACAATCAGATACGTAATTTATTATATACTTTCATTATCGTTACAAATAAAAGGGAAAGGGGATTTATGCTATCTATTATGTAGAGAACATGTCTTTCTAATCAAGCGAAATCCCGCTTCTTTTATAATTAAAACCCAGCAAGGACTACTTATTAATACTTAGTTCTTGCTTCTAGTAATAATCAAATCCTTCCTTAACACGTAAAATGCTCTATTATTCCTTGTGAAAGTTGTAATATTAACAATCCATAGCTCTTGAATGTCCTCAAAAGACCTCACTTTAAAAAAGGCAGCCCTCCATTGAAATCTATCACGTGTGGTAATTGTTCGGAGGCCTTTTTGTCCTCGAAACATATTGGCCAGAGACTAATTGGCCAGTGACAATTTGTCTAGGGGATTATTATGCCAATTATCTACTAAAAGTCTAACTAAATACTAAAATTAAACTAAATAGAAATGGAACACAAAGCCCTGGAACTAATAGAATAATTCATTTTTATAACACTTACGTAGATAGAAGGCAACTGTCACAGTATACTGATATATTGCCTCCTTTAATTGAATATGACATTTATATAATTTGTGAATGCCTTTATTTTTTCGTGTCACGTTCAATTAGATGTGCAGCTTTAATGATTCTGCATTTGAGAAAAAAATTAAAATAAGATTGGTTTGTTACGAAATCCTGAAGATCTAAAATCCCGAGATCATAAATCCAAATGACCATAATCCCGAAGGTCAAAATCCCGAATACTCATAATCCTGAATGATCATAATCTCGAATGACCATATCCAGAATTTATTTTTACTGTGCCCCGATAATTTAAGAAATATTAAAAATATTAAGAAAGATAACCATGAATCGAAACAATTCTGTCTTGTTGTTGTTAAAATGACGCTAGGATTACAATTATATGTTAAGCCTAGATAAATTTATTGAAGCATTTACATTATTAGAAACTATTAATGCAAATGGGCTTTAATATGACTGGTACATTTAGGAGTTCTATCCCGAAGTATATTTGAGTTTATTAAATTATTGCTTATAAAATTTAGCAAAAACTCTTTATTCTGATCACGTTTCAAAGATTTTTGTCAACCATCGATGTACGTTGCAAAATCATATAATTATTATCCTATCGAAAAAAAGTTTAAAAATTATTAATAAAAATTTAATAATAAAAAATTGAGTATTGTAATTAGTCACCTACAACTTTAAAACTATGATTGGGATTTTGAACGACTCCAAATTAAGGTTAAGAATATGTATATTTTAACAAAGTTACGAAGAAAATTTCGCATTATACGTAAATTACCTAAAAAAAAATCAGATCTTAAGATATAAAAACTACTAAGAAACAGTTGTGTACAATAGTATTTGAGAAAGAAGGATCATTTGATCTGAACATCTAAAAAATGTTACATTTTATTATGGAAATTACGTTTTTCAAATTTTGACTAAAATAATAATTATGTAAAAAAGTCAATTAGCCTGGTATAGTTTTGATTTACATAGTTGACCGAGCATACTGTTGGGCGGGTTTATTTGATTAAGATAAACAAAATATCAGATTGTTAGCTCAAATGCTATTTAAGGATTTGATAATAAGAGTCAATTATTTCATACAGAATTTCTAAAAATTGTTGTCCAAAGCTGTGTGTTGTAAAGATAAATTTACTTTATCTATTAATTTATGTAATGACTTTTTACCGATTAATCGTACTAATAATAATAGATTTAAGGTCGTAAACATTAAATGATTTTCAAAGTTTGAATTCAAAATCGATATTAAAATCGATTTTCAGACTTTGATTTTCGACTTCTATTCCGATTTCTATCATGGACAATTCGCCAATCAAAAACTATTAATTTTTATTCATATATCATAAGCCGATAATTGAAAATCTTTTAAATGATGAATTCCTTCAATATATGCATCAGGTTGGTGTCTCATTTATATAATAACTACACATATGTGATATATATAAGGGTACATTACGAATAAGTTTTTCCTAACTCTAAAAACTAAGTCGCTGATTGTGTGACATTGGTAACAAATAAATGTTGTGCCACCAGCCTGGCACAGAATTCAGACATGCTTAATATACAACGAATGATGCACATTTTATTGCATGCCATGACTGATCATAGCATATAGAGATAAAGATTATAGATAACCACACTTTGATAATAGAATTTATAAAATTCATTTTCGAAAGACAAGACATAAAAAATTTTGCAGCCATGTTAATTCCTTCATAATAGCATCAACTATCATTTTGTCTGTATATATTTACAATATGCTAAATTTAATTCAAAAAGCTAGTGTTGTATTCAGTTCTTTAAAGTTTATATTTATAAATGAATGGAAAATGTAGAAGAAGGTTTTAATAGGTAATAATGATGCAAATATTATTTAATAATAATTAATTAATCAAGTATTGCCTAAATCTCAGTGCTCTGTACTTTTTGGAGTCAATATAGATAGTTGCTAAATTACTGCAGCTAATAAATACTATTGCTAAGGTGAATTTCTTTCTAAACTAATGACTAAATTAAGTTACAGTAGTAAATTTATGAATGTCTTATTATTCTAATGACTATTAAGATAATTAAAAAAGGTTTCATTTGTTATTAATAAATACATTTAATACATTTAAATCTGCTTATCTTTCTATTGTTTATAACTAATAAATGTCTCAAACTGCGTCCAACATAAAGGAGGTAATTAGTTTGTCTCCTAATTTATAACTATTGCTTTAAAACATTTAAATTAATGTATCTTAGCTAATATTGCTCCAAATTTTATGAAATTATAATCATTAGAATCATCTAATTGCAAGGAAACCAATGAAATAAAATATTAATTTCTGATTATTGTATGTTAACATACCGGGGAGGACAAAAGTATTGCATGGTTTTAATTTAGATATTTTAGTTAATTTATCATATGTAACTAAGCCATAATTTTTAGTAACATATTGATTATCGATTACATAAATGAAATATTTTTATTATAGTTTGAATTAATATGTTGCAATTCG